AAGGTAAATATACTGTATACACACTACATTACATAACATTGAGACGAGACAAAAATTTAGATGTAAAATCAACTGAAGTCTGAACACGTGGGTACATTTTCTTCTAGCGCTTTTTCCTTCAACCACACATGTGCTCACAAGACACACACAGTTAGGCACGCTGCTTTTGCCCCACTTAGCCCTGGAATGAAAACACTGGTCAGTGCTGCCATTTTGACGTCGCCATAAGAACTGTTTGTAATGGTGCCACAACACACCGTCCAGTGCTGCGCCAGAATTTACTTCGCCAGGCCCCTGGAGGTGGACTTGTGCAGGTGGAGGTGAAAATGCTGCGGACAGACAGGAGTCCTCCCTTTTCGAGCAGTACACCTTCTCTTTACTTCTTCCCATCCCTCCCCCAAAGATCCTACGGTAGAAACACTGAAACTGTGACTGTTTCAGGAAATAGAGTCATAAACAGAGAGAAAAAGGGACGTTTGCCAGTAGCCCTGAGTTTTTCAGTCATCCGGAAACTTGGGTTCTCCCAAACCCGAATCCTCTCCTGAAACCCTGAAGCAGCTGAGACATCACTGCGCTACCTTGTGGCAATGCTCAGAATCGCACCATCTCTTGGGAAGCTTGGCCGCACCCTGAATCCTCCAGGGTCGGAATGACAGAGTTTGTCTCCTTGCCCTCAGCCTGGCGCCCCAGTGTGAGCCCCAGGCACCTGCTGTTTACCTTACTATAGTAACCCCACTCCCTGCTGGACTGACTGGCCTCTGACCCATTGTTCTAGCTTTCATGTCTTACCTCCTTTATTAGACTCCATGGAATACCTTATATATTTGAAACCCAGAACAGGTTGTTTTAATACCCCTCTGCTCTGTAAGACAGGGTTATTTTCAGTAACATTCATGCAAAAATAAGTAACAATCACTATTTTCTTGACTTGTTCTTTAGTTTTAAAGCAATGAACAATTTGAAAAAGAATACATTTCCACTCTAAAGATACTCAAGTTCATTAGAAGTATTTCCTGCAAGAACCAAAATTTTGACTTACCAAACAAAATATCACACCCCCACAGTTCACCGTAAAATCTATTTGACTGTTTTTAACTTTTAAACACGAAAAACTCTAAGTGGTCACATAGGATAACAGAATTGAAGTTCTCAGGTTCTGTTTCTTTGTCTTTACAATCACTATGGTATCATTTTAAATTTTGAATCCGCTGTTAATGCAAAAACAGGCAGTAAGCACTATGGGATTTGGAAACATAAAACGACCAAAGTGAGTTGGGAGGATTCTGAACCATTAGACATTTGCAACGAGCACGTGCCACAGTCCACTACTATTAGGGGCCAGCTGCACAACTGGGAGGTCTCTAAATTGATGTCGATGGAGAACATTAATTAAAGAAGGAATAAAACTGCGATCATTTGAAGTTTACATATATGTTAATAAAACTCAACAGTAACCACAGAAGTTTACAGCTGTGACCAAAAAGCTATTTTTGTGGAGAAGGGGTTTTATTTTTTTTTTTATCACTGGCATTATATAGAATTGTGATAATGAAAGAGACACCAGCTTTTAGTAAGTTGTATTAATCGTTTTACACTCTATGGACAATGACCCCCTTATTGCCAGCTTTTAGGGTGGGCAGCTCCCACCTCCCCACCCATGGTCCACCGGTGACGTGACAGTAAGCTAGCTGGGGGCAAGGACTGCTGGTGTAGTCCACAGTTGCACAGTGTGTCTCCTGCACAAATGCAGCAGCTCTGAGTGTGGGCCCAGGTAGGGTCTCTGAGGATGTCCTCCCTTTTCCTGTACGTGCGGCTGATTTTCTTCACACACTTCAAATGAAGCAACGTGTCACAACAGATTCAGCACAGAAGCAGGTGAGAAGATCTAGCCACTTCCACTAAGCCAGGCATTAAAGAAATTAGCAAAATTTCTTTGTGAACCAATGTCCCTCTTCTGACTCACTTTTTTGTTGTTGTTTAGAAAATACAAGTTATTTCTCATAATATCATGTTATACATGTTAACATATGATGAGTATGTTGTTTTTAAAAGCATCAAAATTTTAAAATGTTCTCGGTTTTAGTCTCCAATCTGGTAAATACTGATAGCTGTATTCGATATAAAAAAGAGCTCTTTGAAATTTTAAATAATTTTTGAGAATGTAATGGTGTCCTGGGACCAGAAGCTTCGAGAACTGCTGTACTAACGCACTGCCTTAGACACGGCAGATGCCTTTGCACACTTGTTCAATGAGTGAGTGATGGAACGGATGGGCTTCGGCTGCTCCCAGGATTTGGAAGCTGTGGCTGGGACTGGAGGGATGGGGTAGGCACCCGTAGGTAATGGTGGTGGACACCAATGGAGGGGTACCACTAGAAGGTGAGGGCTGCCAGGGTCTAGGAGCAACTGCCAGCATTTGAAGCAGCATTGCCCCCCGCCACCGGCCACACCAGTGAGGTGAGTGTGGACCTCAGGCAGTGAGGTGGTAGCTCTGTGTCCTGGGGGTTTCAGGAGGCTCGCCGTCTTCTGTTCCCTTTGGTGCTGATGGGTGGGCATTGCCGGAAGCTGCCTCCCCTGTGGGAGGAAGCAAGCAGAATGCATTTCTAGGAATGGATCTCTGGCTGTCAAATCACTGGATGTGAGCACAATGGTGGGAGATGCCTGTAGCCTCAGGAAGGCAGACCAAGCTCTAGGTGCCTCTCCCTGCTCTGCCCTGAACAGCCACGGGAAGTCGCTTTGCTGCCGGCTGACTTGACCACAGGAGAGGGTGGGATGAAATGTTTGTGCCATGTCCGGCATGTACTGGATGCACAGTACATTAGTGGGTCCATTAGCAATGTCACTAATAATAATTAAAAAAAATAGTAAGCTGGGAGGGCCAGGGTGGAGGAGGAAGTCCTTCCTGGCCCCTGACTGGTGATAGTTGGATCTTGGTGTAGACCAAGCATTCTCAGCCTTGGCTCTGTTGACATTTTGTCCTGACTAATTCATAGCTGTGGGAGTATCTTGTCCATTGTAGGATGTTTAACAGCATCCCTGGTGTCTCGCCACTACATGCCAACAGCACTCTGTTTCCAGTACTGACAACCAAAACTGTCTCTGGACATTGCCGAATGTCCCTGGGGGGGTGTGCTTTGTAAAACTATCCTATGAGGTATAGATACTCAGACTTCTGGGGCGCCACTGTGGAATGCTTGCTTCCCTGCAGCAGCCCAAGAAGACGTCGCACCAGCCTCGTGCACAATGATCTGGTCCACCCCTTGCAGAAGGAATTCTGTCGAGACATTCTGCTGTCAAGGGAGCAGGAGGCCCCCTGACTCTGATCCTCATCCCCGAGGAACCTGCCCACTAACTGTGGCTGCTTCCCTCAGCTTTTGGACAAACTAAGATCCTGGGAAAGCAGTAGCTGACCAGCATGGGATTTGCTGAGGGAAATCTGGACAATACCTGGCAACTGGGAAAGGCTGTCCTGCTTTTCAACCTTCACCTTGGCTCTAAGGGCTTCCAGCTCCCAAGCCTCTACTGAAACAGAGTCTGGACCAGTCAGCAGCAGAACGGATGAGGAAAGGGAGGTATAGGCGCACAACGGAAGGCTGCAGGGACGGGGATGAGCAAGTCCCACCGCATGCAGCCGCGTGGGTGGACCTTACCAATGTGATATTGAATGAAAGAAGCCAGAAACAAAAGAGCACGTACTGTATGTTTACATTATTGAAAAGCTCCCCCCGCCCCAGAAGCAAGATAATCTATATTAAGGCACAAGGGTATGCAAGGGAGGCTTCTGGGATGCTGGCTCAAATTGTGAAAATTCATTGAGCACTTACTACATAAGCACTTTTCTAGATATATGTTGTACTTCACTAAAAAATTAAGAAAAACATTCTGGGCCAAAGGGCAGGAAAGCCTCTTCAGCAATATCCCTGCGAACTCAGGGAATAAAGTTCATCAGCAGTTCTGCCTGCATGGCTCTAAGTTATTATTATCTGTTTTGGACATGGCTTTATGAGTGAGATGTATGGAAAGTAATTAGCACTGTGGTTGACGTGCAGAATGCTCAGTGGATGGTGATAATAAATACTGCTAGTAAGTTATCAACCGACCTAGGATACAAAATAATAGTGAAATACAAAGAACAGTCCTTTTTCTTAAAGGAGAAAAAGAGGTTTTGGAATTTTCAGGTACATCTTTGAGTAGTAAGCTCCTAATTCTTTTTGGAAGTCCCTCCAAGCATAGTCTTGGAGGAAAGAAAAATCTAAGCCTCTCCCTTAGAGTTTCTAGCCCCTCATTAGTAACCAGCACAAAAACAATGTCCCAAACGCCAGTGTCATTTGACCAAACAGTCCAGTTCACATCATATGCATCATTGATCAATTCAATGCGCTGCTTAGCCAGGAACCTGGAATCCACCCACCTGATCAAGCATTTGGATCTCTTTGGCCATCAATCTAGTTTGTGAACTTAGAGACCAAACAGACGTGATTGCTATTGGATTCCTCAGTCGCAGAGTAAAACTTTGGCAGAAACGGCCAAGTCTGGAAAATGTGCAGTGATAGCTCTGTTTTAGACCTGACTGGAAAGAGGACTCTTCTGAAAGAGCCAGCAATTAGACAGTCTCAGCAAGGCAGAGCATTTCATTGCAAGCTGTGCCCCTCAACTGCAAATTAGACGCCAAATTAACTCTCAGGAAGATCTGAAACTCCTTCAGAGTATGCTCCACCAAAGAAACCTCAGCCTGACTTTCTGAATTGGATTTGCGAAGACTTCATTGCTAGCTGCAAGCACTTGGAGAAGACTTTTACTCCCAGAGTGGTTTCCTACAATTTCAATCCTGCTTACAAACGGCTGCAAGTCCCTTGTGACCTGGGGTGCCACCGACAGAGCTACCTGGTGTGCTACGAAGCAAGCTCTGTCCCACACAGTCAAGAACGCTTACATTCGTTGTGACAAACATTTAAAAAAGAAAATCCACGCCCATCTCCGGAGAAAAGGCAGGCTCTTACCTAGTTCCAGGCTTTGTCCGTGGACACTTGACTGGATAAAGATGCACAAAATCAAGAAAATAGAGACACACAGGGGATTTTCCATGTTTCCTGTCTCAGCCAGGGTCCGAGGTCTTCTTGCTAATTTCTGAAGCTAAAGAGACCAGATTGTCTATTGATACCTTGTTAGGGAAGACTGCTCATTAATAATTAACCTTCTAAACACGTTTTCTAGTGTTCACTTTCCTCGCTACCTGTAATCCCAAATCTGACTATATCTCATACCAAAAAAAAAAAAGGTTGATTTACCAAAGGGTTTGTTTTTTTTCCAATTCTGATACATTTTGAAACTAAAATATTCTGTCATGTATTCTAACCTTCTCGGGCCAAGGTCATAGTTCCAAATTAATCAATTTTGTTAATGTGTTGTGCTTGGAAATGCTGTCAAAGGTCAGGGGTAGGTGGCTCCCACATGGTTGCCTAGGTCTCTCTCTGACAGCACTGCAAAGGGGAGGCAGGCTCTTGCCAGCAGTGTTTCAAACTGCAGGCTAAGCCCAGAGAGAGAAAAAGACTCTGCTATGAGGAGAGCCCAGAGGGTCTGTTTTCTGTTGAGTTGGGCAAAATTGCTGGTGCCTGTGGTCAGAGAGTTGTGGGCAATATTTCTAGAGCTGAAAGTGGCAGAAAACCTCTAACCTTAGTGTAAGAAGGGGCTGATGGAGGAGCAAAGATGCAGAACTGGATGCCTTTTCCGGGGGCCCCTGGAGTAAACATCCTGTTTCCTCCTCCGTGTTAATTAATGCTCCAGCTGTGTAGAGGACTGAGAAGTAAGGACATGCAGCAGAACCAGGCAGGGAAAATGTTTCTGTGTATGGCTCTTATAGTGTTCTTTGGGTCTCTATTTTATTTAAACTTTATTCATTTGTTCAGTTTTTTTTGTTTGTTTATTTTTGGTTTTTTGCATACCTACGATGTGCCAGGCACTGTTCTAGGCACTTGGGATATACAAGTGAACAAAACAGACCAAGATTCCTGTCCTTGTGGAGCTTATGTACCATTGGGGATGGGAGGTGTCAGATAATAGATAATAGACATAATAAGTAAGAGATGATGTAGATTGGTAGAATGCAATCAGAGCTATGGAAAAAGGAAAAGTATGACTGAGTTAAGGGGGTTGAAGGAGGTAGTGATTTTAAATAGAATGGTCAAGGTGAGCCTTGTAAGAAAGTTGCACTTTGAGCAAGCATTTGAGGGAGCTGCCCTTGTGAACATCTTGAGAGCTTTAGGTGGCCAGAACAGCCAGTGCAGCCAGTGCAAAGGCCCTGAGACAGAAGCATGCCTGGTATGTTCCACAGACTGCATGGAGGTCAGTGATTAGGGAGATGTCATCATAAGGACTGGGACTTTCACATGAGATACGGGGAACCAGCCTGAGCAGAAGAGTGACACGGTTTTGTATTACATTTGTGAGGACCATTCTGTTTGCAAGGCTAGGAACAGATTATTAGTGAGCAGGGGTACAAGTGGGGGAGATCTATTGCAGTGACTGGTGAGAGGTGATGGTGGCTTGGTTCAGCATGGTAAGAGTAGAATTGGGGAGTGGTGGATGGGTGCTGATATGTTTTGAAGGTAGATGCAACAGGATTTTCTGACTCCTGGGATGTGGAGAAAGAGAGGGGTAGAAGATGACTTCAAGGATTTTGGCTTGAGCAAGAGGGACAGTGCTGTTGATATCAGCTGAGGTGGGAAAGGCTGTGAGTGGAGCAGGTTTGGTGAGTGGGAAGATGAGGAATTCAGATTTGGCCACGTGGAGCCTGAGATGCCTCTTAGACATCTAAGTGGAAATACTGAGTAGGCAGTTGGGTAACATGGTGACCATTGCCCGTATGAAACTGACTGACAAGACCACCAGAAGTTTGGACAGGCTGACCCTAGGGCAAACCTTAACACTGCTGTCCTGTGGCTGCACCTCCTTCCAGAGGACTGCACCATGGGGACCGTCCGGTCAGATGCATCATTTCTGAGCAGAGGCTTCTGCCCTGGTTCCTTGGCTGGCTCCATTCTACTTTGCACGGTTAAGCAGGAACTAAAGTTTCCACTTCTTATTTCCCAGAAAGTTGGAACCTAAAACCAGCTGACTATGCACTTTGGGCTCCTCTCCCCTGGGTCCACCTCATCTTTTGTCCTCTGAGTACTGCCGGGAACCAACTGTGCCCCCATCTCAGCCTGCAGATTAACTCACCAAGATACCAGTGAATCCAAGTGCCTCCAGGATCCGGGGTTTACTATCAGCTAGCTGCAAAATGTTATTTAACCTTAATGAATTCCATCTCCTCACCTGTAAAATAAGATACCATGAGCTGGAGATAATATTTTGAGGTGTCAACTTAATATATTTCTCCCAACCTCTGCTGCACACTCTCCCTCCCTCTTACAAAGGGTAAAGTAGAGAGAAGGCTAAATCTTTTGTCTTCTCAACCTTAGGACCTAGGGTAAGTGAATTCCAACCAACAAAGAGAAGCAAAAAGCTGAACATGTTTTAAAGGGATGTGAAGGAAGGAGTACCCTTACCTCCCCATCACTAGAAGGAGAGTCTGCTGGGCTTTGCAAGTGGGTAGGGGAGGGGGACATTTGTCTATGGGACAGAGGGGGCCGGTTCCTTGCTTCCAGAGGTAGTAAGAAGCCAAAGAGGAAACGTCTGTGTGTGTGTCAGCAGTGGGGCAAAAGATGCCCCTGTGCCTGGTGTGGGATGGGGGCAACAGGGAGCGCTGGTGCCGACAGGTCATGTAGATGGGGAGGACCAGCCCCTCAGTCAGTGGTCCCCTATGTGGACTAATGGCAGAGGACCAGCTGCTCACCCCTAACCCCAGGCCTGGGTATTGTGTCTGGTCTCAAACTGGCAAGGGGGGTAAGGTGAAGGAATCCAGGAGGGCTTGAAAAATAGGAGTTTGGAGTCATAATTCAGATGAGTTATAGAAAATAATGCTATTTCTTCCACATCAGAATCTGTGGACTGAGATTCACACCTCTGCCAGCATGGGTCTGTCATGAGTGTTGGAAATTTGTACGTGAAGTGCCCAGCCGAGTGCTTTGTTCAGAGTAGAATTCCAATAAATTATAGTGATTTATTTTGTAGGCAATATGCTTAGTAGTCAAGAGTCCAGGCTCTGGAGTTAGAAAGATCTAGGTTAAGGTCCCTGGCCTATCACTTACTGCCTGGGTGACCTAGAGCAGGACATTAGTGATCTGAGCTCTGGATTTTTTGTCTGTGTAGCGGGACTAGGTATACTTACCTGATCAGGTTAAAGGAGGTGAGGTGAAGGGGTAAAGCCCATAGCAATCCTGGCAAGCAGGAGATGATAAATGGCAACTATTCTTACTATTTTTATAGCATTTAATTCATGTAGGGGGTCAAGGGGGTGTCCAGGAGGTAGATAAACAGTAAGACCACAGTGACAAAATTTTAGCCGAAAATGAAAAGGGTAGGAAAACAGAACGGGCTGGATCAGTGGTTCCCAAATCTGACTGAGGGTTGCAATCGGAGTCAGCCCTGAGCTCAGGAAGAGGGAGCCACAGGCCAGTCCCAAGAACAGTGAATGGGCACTTCCAGGCCTGGGGCCCCGACAACCTGCATTTGAAACAAGTCCTCCGGATTATTCCTGGTCACCCACAGTTTTGAGAACCATTGCCTCAGGGTGACGCTTGAATGATCTGTTGGGGCACAAGAGGAAAATGATAGGTCTTTCAGATTTCTCTTACACTACCTGCTAGAGGCTGAATGTTTGTGTCCCCCCAAAATTCATAGGTTGAAACCTAGCCCCCAAGGCGGCGGTAGATGGAGGTGGGGCCTTTGGGAGGTGATTAGGTCACGAGGCCAGAGCCCATGAATGGGACTAGCGCCCATATGAAAGGAATCCCAAACAGATCCCTGCCCCCTTCCTCCCTGTGAGGTTACAATGAGAATATGGCCATCTCTGAGTTCCTCGTTAGACACCAACTCTACAGGTGCCTTGATCTTAGACTTCCAGCCCCCAGAACTGTGAGAGATACATTTTATAAGCCACCCAGTCTATGCTATGCTCTTATAGCAGCCCAAACAGACTGACACCACCTTAGAAAATTTTGTTTATGTATATATAATGTTTATAATATACTTACACTATAACATTTGTATATAGTACTATGTAATATATTAATGCTATATAAGTTATAAGCAGATAAATATACCCATATATTTTGGGGGAGAATTCAAAAATTTTTTCAAACTGATAAAGGTGCTTTACTAAAAATGGGTGAAATTACAGACCAATATCACTGATGAGCATAGATGCAAAAATCCTCACCAAAATATTAGCAAATACAATCCAACAGCACATAAAAAAGATTATACATCATGACCAAGTGGGGTTCATCCCAGGGACACAAGGGTGGTTCAACATACACAAATCAATCAATGTGATACATCACATTGACAAGAGAAAGGTCAAAAACCACATGATCATCTCAATATATGCGGAAAAAGCATTTGATAAAATTCAACACCCATTTATGATAAAAACTCTCACCAAAGTGGGTATAGAGGGAACATGTCTCAACATAATAAAAAAAGTGGGTGAAGACTGCTGTAGAGGGACACGGTGGCCCCTGAGCCTCAGGGACCTGACTATAATGTGGGGATCTCATCAAAGCACTGGAACAGTCAGCAGATCCATTAGTGGGATTGAGTCATCTCCACACTCCAGAAAGCTCAGCAGCTACTGCAGGACTCTTCACTTCCCATGAACATGACCCTTGGCGCCTCCAGCAAAGTTATCCACGTTGCCCACAGTGGTAGAGCCCAGGGCTTGCTCTCATCTGCAATCCTCAATCCAAAATTATAATGGTCTCAGCGGTGGAGGGGGGGGTATTGCTCAGTAATAGAGTGCATGCTTAGTACACGTGAGATCCTGGGTTCAAATCCCCAGTACCTCAACCGGAAAAAACAAAAACTAAAGGTCTTATAACCAGATCCCTAAGAATTGCCCAGTTCATGCTCTCTTTTAATTTGAAAATCTTCTTGAAGAAGTAGAGATTTCAAGAGGCTGGGCTTTGATGACCTGGATGTAACCTTTTCTTTTAGTGTAATGGTGATAAGAAAGTTAATCAGGAGAAAAAATATTTTATAGAGATAAAGAGAGCAAGTCCCAGGAGGGAGAAGCCAGGGGATCAAGGTGACATTTTGTGGTGAGAGAAACAGGGTTTTATATTCTCAAATCAGCTTTTCTTGCTTTCCTCATCAGACACCGGGGATACCTGAGAATGGCAGACTCTTGGTGGAGTTCCAAGAAAAGGGCAGTGGAAACAGTAAGTTTTCGATTGCTGCTATTATGTCTCTCATTTTACAGTTGGGATTTAAGAGATGAAGAACTAGGGAAAAACTGTATTTTACCAGGAAAAACCTGAGGTAGGGGAAATCAGGGCCACCTGAGTCCAGGGTGTGATTTCTTAACCACTTAATCTCTGGCTTTTCTCAGGACTGCACTGAGCTTTCTTTCCTACACCTCAACCCCACTCCACTCCCTACATGAAATCTGTGAAGTATGCAGGATCAAGTCCTTGGAACATAACTGTCCTCTCCTACACCTGATTGGAGCCAGGCTGCTACCAGAAAAATGAACAAGCTTTTATTGGGTCACAGATCGATCTGTGTGGACATTCTTGTACCATGTGGGATTACAGTAAAAACAAGTCGGGACACTTCTTTGAACTGGCTTGGAACATGTCCTTACTGGAAAGGGGGTTGGCCTGAGGCCTAACCTTTTCCTTATCTGTTACTTTTTATTTTTTTTTTAAGTACAAGTAAACACATGAAAGGTGAAAACAAGATTGTGGATGACGTTAAAACTGTGAAAGAATGAAGTGTTTCAAACATTTCAAGCAGGTATGTATTCGTTCAAGATCATCATGCCTGCATTGACTAACCTTTGCAGAGTAACCTCTGCATGGGCTCTGCCTCTGACTAGCTGTGTGACCTCCTGCAAATAATGTAACTTCTCTTTGCGCGGGTTTTCTCATCTGTAAACAGAAGGGTGAGGGTGAAATGGTTATTATATGGAATGTGTTTGTAACAACTATTGGCACATTCAGAGCCATTTGGTTTTTGTAACAAATGAAATAAAAATTACTTCTTCCATTTTACAGGTGAGAAAACTGAGACTCTGAGATTCCTTGTGTAAGGCTATGTAATCTCTGTAGACTGGATCTGAGGACTTCTAGGTCCCTCTGAACTGATACTCACTCACTCCCAAAATCTGAAGTGAAGAGCTAGGGAATAAAGAACTGAGGTCTCCTTCTACACTTATTTTTATGTTTTCAGCTTTATGCGGGCCCATTTATTCTCCCTATCAGAATTTCAGCTGCTGTTTTGTGGAACAGTGAAACTAACAAACAAAACACAAAAACCAGAGTTGTCTTTTTTTGGTGACTGGATACTCTGGAATCAACAATGCATTTTATGATGTTAGTAGTTCCAGTAGAATGGAAAACCTTTTGTCTCTGTTTGCATTATGCTTGTAAAGCAAAGGGAGGTAAAGATTTAACTTGGTTTTGAATAGCCAGATAAAGACCATTGCTGCCTCCTTAAAGTCTGACAAGGGCTTTCCCCACCGTGGGAAAGAGGGTGGGCATAGAATGGACTCTGTGCCTACATCCTCCAGCTGCTTCGGGTGCTGCCTGGGCTTACTGAGGGGTGATCATGCTCGGCTCCTCGGGGAGACCAACCAAGATATGAACTGAATTGGCTCATTGCAGCAAACCAAGGGCACAGCTGGGGAAGGCGGGCCATTGGCACAGCAGCTCTCTTTCTCTGAATCCCAGTGCTTCCAACTATGGGGCAGCCAGGGGCACAGTCCTCATTCTCGCTATCAGGCAGGACTAGGGCATCACTCAGATCGAAG